GAGCCCAATGAGTTGGACCCTATTTGTTTCTATGACGACTCAAGCAAACCCACGCTGCATTGTGCTCGGCAAACGGTGGGTCAAAAAGTTGCATATTTGGAATACCACCAGAAACAGTTTTGTGATTGGTTCAGCAAGTCTTGGTTTGGGGGGGAGGGACAGAGTTGACATGAGGATCTGGTTTGCTTATTGAGCGATGAAAGACGGACAGAGAGTGGGAGGGGATGGCTGACATTGATGGATGAATAGATAAGGCGGATGAAACAAAAACAGTTGAGCAATTACGTTAAAATGTGGCGCTTGACTAAACTTATGATGCACCTCCAAACATTTCAACTCTATCTGATGTGCCACCGTCCCCGTGGAGTATTGCTATCACAGATATATCTTGAAAGAAATGGCTCCCTTGTGTCATGTGTCTTTCATTACTCTGTTAACACCTCTCACTTTCCCCTCTGCTACCATGGACACACACACATGTTCATAGTCAGTGTGTCTATTTTTGAACTCCAAAACTCCAGTGTAAGTAGTAATACCCCTTCTCTGTGTGAGAACAATGGGGATGGGGAAAAAAGCTCCACCCTGCCTGCCTAACTCACCCCTTACTCTTTCCCCAGCCCCTCGGCCCCTTCTCTGGCCCTCACTGTCCACTCTCTAAGCCCCTATATTAAGCAGGGTCTGGTGCTGATGAATGGACCACAGCTCAGCCTATGCTCCACCCTTTAATCCAGGCTTGAACGAGCCGATTAGGTGGTCCCCACATTCCGGCTCACTCATCTGTGACGAAGGCCAGCAACCTTACTGGGTCACATTAATGGTGTGTGTAAAAGCCGGGAGGAAAATAATCATGTTTATGTGGTCAGGGTGATGGCACAGGTTAAGTAGACTAAAGCCCCTGTTTTTAGATGTGGAGGTCAGTAGAGTTGCAGCAATTAGCTGAACCACAGCGCGATAATTGCAGACTTTTTTAATGACTGATTTAACTTCATATTTCATCCAAAATGGCAGAAAATTGTGTTTTTTAGCTTTTCAAATATGGACAGTAACTGATATTCCTTTGCTTTGTATCTTACAATCTATCAAGTATTATGGACTGGCAACAAGGCATCCCCTTTGAGACATTAGGATGTACCAAACCATCAATCAGAATTGAATCAAAGTATAGGCAGGATAACCAATAATGAAAATAATCATTAGTTGCATCACTAGTGGTAAAATACAGTATGTGCAGTTGGTCCTTCGATGGCCTTTATTGCCCTTTTTAAATAGATCTTAATCGATGTTCAATAAGAACGATTTCCCTTGTAGTGAACGTCTATAGAATTTAAAAGACTCAAAGCCCCTTCTTGCTGACTGTTCATGTATAAAATTCTCCGGTGCTGACTTGGCGATTGTCCGACCTTTGATCCACTTTGCGGCCTCTTCGTCTCAGAGGTCCAGCATTCCACAGGCCGATAGAGTGCAGAGATGAGAGGGTGATGGATGGATGAAAGGAGGGGCTAGAGGTGGAGAAGAAAGCAAAATGCTGGCCAGAGAGATTAAAGAAGAGAGATTAGACTCTTGCTCCTGAAGAGGCTCCAATAAATCAGAAATTCCTTCCTAGGGTAGGAGGAAGAGTAGCAGGGAACATCCTGTAGTCAATTCTCCACCCAAAACCCCTACACACACACACACACACTCACACTCACACATTTGTCCACTTGACATTCCCTCTCTGCTATCGTTGGTGCTCATTATTTGCATTTTTTCTACCTTATCATGACTGAAACACACTCCCACATTTCTCAGAGCTCTACCGACGTAACACACACACACACACATGTAAATACTCCAACACAAACAATCACACATTTAAATGTCTCGCGCTGAGACGGACACACATGCACACATTCACTGCGTTTCTGCCATATCTCTACAAATCATCCTTAAGTAGAGGATACAACATCTCCATGCTGTTACTTCTGCTGGAGCTCCAAGCGTCACTGTCATTTAAAGAGAGCATCCTTGGATAAACAATGGGAATAAATCAAGGCAGCCCATTGACAGAGAGAGGGAACAGTCTGGAGGAGGAGAATAAAAAGAGACACACACTGGGGGGGGGGGAGGGTTTTGTCTGCTAAAGTGAAGGTGGCATGATTTGACTCTGTTAGCTAAACCTTTTCACACTGAGGCCTAAACTCGCTTTGAAGTGCGTTTCTCCAATCAGTTGATTAAGCAGATGATGTGGAACGATTCGATGCCGGGGCCTTGGAGGGGAACAAAAGGCAGCAGGATAATTAAAACTATTTGTCATTAATAAAAGGAGCTAGCCAGCCTCCCCGGGTGTGTATTCAGCCACTGTTCTCTCTGCTAAGTGAGGTATTCAATCAGCGCAGGCACATTGTGAATAGAGACACTGTATGAAACAGTGGCATTGATAAAGCAACTGTAGCGCTCGTATGGAAACTCTGAGAGAAACTTCAAAAGCCATTTCCAACTCAAGCCCTTTGACCCCCCCTGCCCACGACTATTCATGCCCTACGCCTCCCCCCAAAACGTTCAGCCTAAAGGGGCTGGGAAGTGGGGAGCAGGAGGGCATAATTACCCCCCTCAGGGCGACTTTAATGCCCTTTTTTGTGTTTTAATTGCACCCCCCTTCAACCCCCTTTTGATGAACACATTGGGAGCATACCACAACCGGTTTGTAATCCGGTGGGTGAGTGAGTGAGGGAGGGTTTGGGTATAGGGAGTTTGTTTGTGTGTGTTTTCACTGTTTGCAAGGGGATGATAACTCTGTCAGGCAAAAGCAGACAACATTGTTTGTTCAATAGTGTTATCGATTCGACTGAAATTGAAAGTGGCAGGGGGAAAAAACACTTTAGCGCCAATCTGGTAAACAGAGCGTGGCAGGCAAACGGCAGATAAGCACTAAGCTGTCTGGACCGTGGCAAAATGATAATTATTGTTCTCCCCCCTGAAAGTTGGCGGGGCACACTATAATCAGTGTAGTTGGATGGAAGTTTCATCGGAGTCCTGAAAAGGTGGTTGTTTTCTAACGGGCCGTGTTGCTGTTGTAATGGTGTTGCCGGCTAATCTGGTCATCAGTATTGAGGGAATGCAGTCAGGCGGAGAGGGGTAAAGGGATGGGGCGGGGCAGAGGGGGTGCAGGAGTCAGGGCCCTGTGTTTGGAGCCACTGCGTCTGTCCTTTTACCGGGGGTACCAGGGAGACCCCTGGCCAAAAACAACAACAGCAGCTAACGAGCGGCAGGGGCCTGTGCCTGTGCACTTTGATCGTTAGTCACACATATGGATCTTGTCACACAAACACAAACTCCCCAAATGTGGCTTGTTACATTTAGGGGTTTTATGAGAAAACAGCAGAATTCTCGGTTTTGTTTTTTCCCATGCTAAAGGTGTCCGATTAGCACCCTTTAGGCGTTTGGGAACTCATAATTATTCTTTGAAATCTTGTAGATTAAATAGCAGTCGGTAACTCAAAACTGGCTCCCTGCCTCTTTTTTGCTTTGGATTTTTGGAAACCTGGTGAACCGGCCATGTATTCATTGCAAAAGCAACAAAGCCCTATATTAGACACACATTCTCCCTATGTGTTGTGAAAATATTGAAGTCTGTCAAATATCATCCACTCCTTCAGAACCCCTGGTGATGCAGAACAGTAGGAGACGGTAAACTGATAGGCATCGCTTTGGAGCTCAGTACCGGGAGAGGAGGTGTGTGTGTGCTTTTGGTGGCTGCAAATGGTAGGTAGCTACTGCTTTAGGTTGTTGATAGATGGGAATTACTGGGAAGTGTGTGTGAGTGTGAGTGTGTGAGTGTGTGAGTGTGTGAGTGTGTGAGTGTGTGAGTGTGTGAGTGTGTGTGTGAGTGTGTGAGTGTTGCCAGCTACCGCTCCAGGCTGGTGATAGATGGCTTTGGCTGAGAAGAGAGCATTAGCTGTGAGCCGCCCCTGAAGCAGTCACTCAGTCAGGGGGAAGGGGACAAAGCTGAAATACCTTCAGTGACAATTCCCCGGAGATAAACTCATAATGCCTCCTAAAGAAGAACATCCAGGAGGAATCATGGACAGTTGAGATAGGGTCATTTTAAACTGCCTCGGAGTGTGTTTTTTTTTTTAACTCTTTCAGTGATACTTAAAAAGTGTTGGTGGGGGACATTAGAAGTGGAAGTGCTAAATTGTTTTTTTTCTAAGAGTGCTCTTTTGACCCACGTCCAAGGAGAGGGCAGGAGTTTAGTTTACTCGTAAAAATGGCGGAGGAGTGAAGGGAGGGATGAGGGGAGGAGTGGAGGGGAGGCAGACAGTCTGACTGTGTCTCTGTGTTTGTAATGAGAGGGAGTGTGGTGGGAGACGGTTACAGGCTGTCACCAGACTCATTTTGTATGTGCCCGCCTGTCTCTGACCCTAATGAATGACTTAAACATGTGACATTTTTATTTGTATCCCTATCTTCAGTAAACTCAGGTGTGTGTGTGTGTGTCTGCTTCTGTTAAGGTGAAACTAGCATTACGCATTCTGCCTTTTGGGTGTGGGTGTTTGTGTTTGTGTGTGTAGCCCTGCAGATGTCAATACTCATCTCCTGTCTTGACGGGCTAACTGACTGCTAATGTTTCTCTGTAAACATCACTCAACTCCTGGTGGACATGGGATCAATGTGCACTCGATGCTAACTCCACAAAGCAGCCATGCTACACTGGCTTCATGTTCATCCATATTAATGCCCATGTCCTCTCTAGGATAATTCTCCCCCTTATTGCGTTTTCTCTCTTCATTCAACTCCAACACACACACATCCTCACTCACAAACACACTCCTGCTCTCTATCTCTCTCTATCCCAGGCCTCTCAGTCTTTCCTCTGATTTCCCTGTTGTACAGGGCGTGCAGCCGATCAATATATAATCACAGGTTTTGAGGCTTATATTTATCACCGCTCCAATGCTATAACCACGCTTATCAGTCTCCTGCCACTTGAATAACCGTCCCTATCTGACTTCTCCCCGCAGGTTTCTAAAGGACGACTACACTGTTGAGGTCAAGCTCAATGACTACCTGGACATCGTCTGCCCCCATTACCCAGAGGGTGAGGTGCCATTGCTGGATGCTGAGCGATACGTGCTCTACATGGTGGAGCGTGAGGACTTCGACATCTGCAAGCCTCAGTCATACGACCAGATGCGTTGGGAGTGCGGCCATCCATTTGCTCCTCACGCCGCTGAAAAGTTCTCGGAAAAGTTCCAACGTTTTACTCCCTTTACTCTGGGAAAGGAGTTCCGCCAAGGAGAAAGCTACTATTATATCTGTAAGTGTCAATATAGCTTTGTTGTAGATGTGTCACCGTGTTAGCCGATAAGTTATATTTTCCAATATTTGTACTGAATGTTTAAAGCATGGAAAGTAAGGGCGATGTTGTTAATTGCTTATCAGCAGTAGGTACAGCTGAGGCAAAGTGAATGTCATTAATGTTGCATGGATTTTGGTTATACAGGGAAGAAATTCAGAAAATAAAATATACATTTAATTTAAATTAATCTTAAAGGGGAACACAAATGCTCCTATTAAGCTTCTCAGTTTCCCAAAGTTGATACAATACCCCGCTAGAATGTAACCACAAAGACCAGGCAGTGTTGTCACCCTGACCATGGCTGTAATTAGATAAACTGCAGGACAAGACACACTTCGCGGGTCACAGATGGCCTCCTAAGCTTTGTCCCTGTGTCGGTCTGTTGCCAAGTGTTTGTGTGTGTGGGTGCATGCATGAAGGTGCATTAGGGGCCGGTGGAGGATAAGTGCATTAGTTGGGATGTTAACGCCTGTGTTGTTTCTTCCCGACAGCCAAACCTTTGCACCACCATGGAAAGGAGTGTCTCAGGCTCAAGGTGGACGTCGTAGCCGTTGATGGTGAGTTTAACCGCCCTTGTGGCTGTTAGGAGAGTGCCACAGTCAGTCCTTTAAGGTATTGTGAGACCAAAGCAGAGTAATTGATGGCAATTTTCTTGTCTTTCAGGCTCTCAAGAAGCCAGAGTGGATAGAGGAGGCACAGGTGGGGCTGCAGTTGGAGCCGGGGGCGGGGTTCACAACCCGACCAACAGACTGCCTCCAGGTATGTCGACCAACCCCGAGTCCTTTATAATTATCCTTGACCTTTGAACAATACGACCACTTTCAGGATTACGTTAGGGTGTAAATATGTGGTCCTAATGTGTCTTCTTTATCTCTCATTCTCAAGCAGATGACCCAGTGGTAGTCCTGCCAGACGTCCAGAAGAGTGCACGGTCAAACTCTGCAGTGACGGCTTCCTCCCTCTCGATCCTCTCACTGCTAGTTCCATTTTCATTACTGCTTTTGTTGCACTGAGAGGACATGAAAGAACTGCTGTTAGCAGACTTTTTTTTTTTCAGGGACTACAATGAAGACAGTCCGTGGGGATGAAACCACTGACTCAAAAAGACAGTTCTCTTTGCCCAGTGCTGGCCACTGGCAAAGACCTTTGAAGCTTGTAAAGTACAGATGGACTCGAATGCACTTCCACGTGCTAAGTAACTCCTGAGACAAAGTGTGTGAGCTTTGCCTCATTTTTCAAAAAGTGACTATTTTTTTCTTGGAAAAGCTCTCCTTGATTTTTATTTTATCGGGCTCATTCCAGAAAAACATGAACCTCTTTGGATGATAACCCTTAATGATAATGGGAAGAAGCTGAATTGGAACCAGAAGAACAATCAAGCGCAACTCTCTTTGAATTGTATACATTTAGACGGGATGTATCCACGTTCAATGGAAAAGTTATCTCCTACCTTTTGAGCCAAAGATCAGTCATCTCTCCAACTTGTACACTATTCCACCCTTGAGTATTGTGTACTATTTGTTGTATTGTTATCGTAATGGTATTGAGTGGCATTGATGTCCCAAGTGATTACTTTCTCTAAATGTAGCATCGACAGGCACGCGGGCTCTTCTCATGACTACCATTCCTTTGCAAACTCGACCATGTGCTTTTACTGTAGCACTAATACAACACAGTACGGAAACACCAACACACACTCCACAACTGTTACACACAGACAAACACACACTGGCATCAGATGACAGACATTAAAGCACAATACATTTACTGTGTTATGTGTACATTCTGTGAAGATAATTTATAACATTTGCAGCTGAGAAGTTTACTGTATATACCATGTGCTCCTAAAAAGAAATGTTTACTGTTGGCAACCGGGGGACTTTTTCTTATTTTCTTCCTGGTAGAGTTAGTACTTGTGTGAAAGAAAAAGAGTGTGAGAGTTAGAAAAAAAGTGAGCAATTGATTTGAAAGAGTGGTGAGACAAAATGTTTTTCTGACAAAAGCAAACACTGAGATGTGTGTGTGTGTGTGCAGAGAGGCTGGACTTCTCTATTTGTTGGAACTTTGCCGCTGTATTAGTTAAACTGCCTGACATGAAGTGCTGGTATCTTTTATAAATACAGGGCCTAACCCTGTGTGTCACGGTGCTTTCATTCATATATTCAACACAAGCATATACATCTAACAACATAAAGTTGACTAGACATTCAGAATAATTAAAACCCTAATTTATGATTTGAACAAGTTCACAACAGACAAGACGAGGCATCAAACCGAGTTGCCGAGCACAACTTCACCCGACAGGCTGGCTTGATCCACAAAGCACAGCTGTGTATGATTACCATTAAAGTCAGTCTTTTTTTAAATCTGAATTCCTGTTAATTTTGTACATGTGTAAGTAAGAAAAGTGTATAATATGTATATATTTATATATATATATAGAAGATTATATAAAAAGACCTGTTTGATAAATATGCTAAATGTGAACATTTCATGTGAAATAAAAAAAGATATTTTTGGAAAACCATGACTGTGTTTTTGTGGTTATTTTGAGATTGTGTGTGCATGGTATGGCTTGCAGGATTCTAAGGGTTGAAATGTTGGCCTCAAAAAGCATTTGATGGATTGCAAAAATAATTGGTTCAGATTTGTATTTCCCTCAAGAAGAATTGTAATAACCTTATTGATCGCTTTAAATGTAGAACCATCATCAGGTTGAAGTGTTAAGTTGTCTGTTGTATAGGCTTGAAATGTGTTCAAAAGACATTGACAACAATGGTGAACAATCCTACTTAAGTTCACCATGTGAATGCCATTTTGAGTTAGTTAGCACGCTAGCTTTGCCATTTATAGCTCGCTGCAACACAGTCCCAAAGTACAGCCTCGCATGCTATTTTGGGTAATGGTTTAATTATCTAGCCTAAGAAAAAACCAACAACCTAGCATCATCTTAAATTAAAGATAATTTGTTCGCCTTTAGGGAACTTAGGTGATTGTGGTGCTTAAATGCTTTCAGAAAACCAAGCCCCTTTCTACTTTTGATAACAGAAAATATCTCAACAGAAGGCGACAAAAGCTCAGATAATGACTTAAACACAAACCTAAAACCGGGGCCATGGTGGCTGCAGACATACTGGAGAGATAAACCATAAAAGGGGGGGGGGGGCACTGTTTATTATGACAGATAAGGTTGCCTTTTGGCATGAAGACTCACACAGGTGTGATCCCTCAACTGTCTCTCTCAACTTTCTGATTAACCTCCATTCTGAGCTACAACACCCCTCCCAAAATACTCACCTCCTTTTTTCCCCAACCATGATACTTTGCTCAAAGTTGCATGTCAAGCCATTGTTCTCGCCTCTCCTTCTCTTGTCTCTCCCTTCCCAGGGGAGCTTTACGGCCGTGACAATAAAAACAGCTGTAGCACCAGAAACTGGTGCCACGGCCCCACAACTCCCAAATGTTTTCAAAGGCTTGGTCATAAATTAGGGCTGGCAGACAGGCCTCTTAACCGCCCGACCCCGAGAGGAGCCTCCACTGAGTAGTGGCTTGTCAAGAGGAGACAATTATTTGTATTTACTCACTCGTTCTGTGTACCAGCTTGAGTAAATATGAACAGCAAGTGTGAAACTTTTAACGCTGTACTAAATGTTAAGGGTCGTTCAGTAGATAACCAGAACAACCCGAGGGCAATGTTTTCACGGGCCAAGAAATCTCCATGTAATGTTTGCATAACATTTTAAGGCCCAAATCTATAGACCATACACATTCCAAGGTCAGCATGAATCTTAATCTCAAAAATCAATTTTCAAAACTCTTCAAGGCAACATCTATATATTGTAAGTTAAATCTCTCCTAAGTTTTGTGCCTTGTGTAAAAACATTGTATTCACAGAGCCAAGCATGTGGTTTAATAAATAAATAAACCTTTATATATTTAGATGGTTTCATAACACCTACAGCTGTTCTGCATTTCTAGAATCTACAAAGACTTTTCCAATCATCCGGGTGAAAAGAAAAAGCTGCATGAGGAAAAGATTGCTTTTATTCGGATGGTTGGAAGAATCATTAAGTATTCTAGGAATTCAACAGCAACTTCTGGGATTTTCAGCAGCATAGCTTTATGGATAGCATATATTTAATTTGTTGATCCACCACTTTGATACAATTTAAAATATTACAACATTTACTGGATTAATTGGCACATCATTCATGGTCACCAGAGGATAAATCCTTTGGTTTTTAGTGATCGCAGACTTTTATTCTAGCACCACTATAAGGTTGAAACAAGTCGATTTTGCGTGAAATGTCTCGACAACAATTAGATTGATTACCATAAAATGTTCGACAGACATTCATGTTCCCCAGGTGGTGACTCCCTGACAATTTATTGGGTCAGAACTGTATTATCCAATACGTTGTTTTATGACTGAACACCTGCACAACTAATGATAACAATTTTGAAAATGGCACACCTTGCTTCTAAACATCGGAATGCCTCCACAGCTCTATGACTGTGTAATAGCAACACATGGGAGGCTCTATATTAAATTAAACATTTCCCAACCAGCAGGAAAACTAGGCTTTTATTAATTTATCATCATCAGCGTTTAAACCGAGCGGGACATTGTATGTAACTCAAATCTGCCAGGAGGCCATGAGGCGCAGCAAGAAAAATCCACAATTCAGAGTAGCTTTGGCATGGCCAGCTGGTGTATCTCTGCATCTCTGGACTGAGTCATTCCTCACTATCAGCAGGACACATGACGATCCAGTCCCTGTCTGCCTGCTAGCGTATGTTACTACTCGGAAGAGCCAGGACTATCTGCCTTACAGGGCCGTTGGGAGGTTACCTAATGTTATTGAAGCTATTTGTAGCATTTATAAGCCTCCATGCTGCCCTAAAATGTGAACCCGGTGTCCTTTAAGTATCAAAGAAGCTGTTTATGAGCAGTGAAAGAACAATCCCATGATTGACTTTTTAACCTCATCCACATTATTTTTATTCAGCGATTATGTACTGCATGCTCGGATTAAATGTCGTTTTATTGTGGCGGCATGTTTGGAAGCTCTTTCGTTCCCTCTTTTGGCTGAATCCTGCTTCAGTGCCTATAAAAGCTTAAGGTGACAGCAGGGTCAGACTGGGCTGATGGGAAGGAAGCACCTTGGTTAGAGTCAGAGCTGCTGGGCCAATCCGGGCACATTTTGGTCCCCTGCCATCGCTGGCGGTCGGGGTGTGGTCTTCTCTTCCCGAAAAAGTCTTGTCACATACTTTCTTCCAGGGTCATCCTGCTTGTTCCAGCTCATGCTCTGGTTTCCTGTTCGTGTGATTTAGTCACTTTCCTTTTTCTTTATTCATACCCACATCCACATTTTTTTTGGGTTGCCTCTCTAAACCATCTCTGTATCTATCTCCTGTTTCGATCCAACTCTCTCATCTTGTCATTGCTGTTCATCATTCTGTGTCTCTATCAAATCTCCATCTCTTTCAGCTCCGAGCCTCGATTACTAACTCCATCTCTCTTTCTTTGCGTCTGTAGATGGGTTTGAGGTTTTGCTGTGAAATGTGTGGGTGGGGAAAAAAAGAGTATTTTCTCTGCAGAAAAATGATAACCTATCATTTTTCAGTCTTGTTTTCAGCCTGTCGAGATGGATTTTCTCCCAGCAGTGTCACTGAGTGTCTCTGGGAAAGCTTTTTGTATTGTGTTTTAAGGTCTCAGTAGGGCCATGCTGCAGGCTCAACCCAATGGCCCTTCTCTCACTCTGTCTCTAACCCCATAGGTTTATCTGTACTTGATCAACGTGCCACTTTGGAGCAGAAAGTAAAGAACATTCTGTGCACGTTTGTCATCTTTCTCAGACATCTTTACTGTCAAAATCCTTTCCTGTCGATGACAGACAGTGCAATTATGAAAATCACTTGTAAGTGGCTTTCATAACCCAAAACCAGAAGATAGAAAAAATCCAAGTGAGAGGATTTTGAAGTTGCCACTTAGACATGTTACATCACTGGGATATTTTAGCTTACTTTCACACATGAGTCAAGTGGACAAAACTCACCACTTTGTGATACAAGAGCAAAAACACCATTTATATGATTCATAGCAAATCAGCCTCACATATTCAGTGTAAAAGAACTGAATCTCAACTTTGATGTTACATTATTTCTGGTATAGTTTATGTAAGCTTTTAACTCAAAGTTATCCGAATTATATAATACAAATAAGGATATGGTAAAAACGACTGTGTAAAACTTTGATTCCTACAGCTACATATGAGAGTATATTATTGCCAGGGAAAGAAACATTTAAAAAAAACACTGGTGAGCCAAAATCTGCTTTTAAACATACAGGATGCTTAATAACAACAGTGCTGATGCTAGTTGTCTTACGTGTGCTGCAAATGAAATGCATGGAGATTTAAAACAAAAGAGTATTTGAGTAACGTGAGTAGTTGAGGTTTGTTTAGGACAGCCTTTGATACATCTATGTCTGTCCATCAGATTAAACTTGATTTCGCCAGACATCATGTAAAGGGTTATGTCTGGGATGAAGCTTATGTACTGTATGTTGTAAAAAAGGGATTAAAAGGAAAAGGCACAGAAACGCTTGTACTGTACATGCGCACTATATGGTCTGTAAAATGTTTGGCCTAATCTGATTTATACTTCTGTCTCCTAGCCCGCAGAATAAAAATGAACAGATGGATGTCTTGAAAGCTGGATTCAGAGGGAATGATGACAAAGAAAAAGTGATTAACTATTTCACATGTGGTTACGAGTAAAGATATAACTGCTAGTGCCTACCAAGTGAAGCCTTTGGTGTAATTGCCAAAGTAGAACATTTGCTGGTAAATAACAGGTTGCCTTTCATCCAGTCTGCTCTTGCAACAGCTTGCAGACATTCATGGGGGGTGAAGTTGCAAGGCATGATGGGGCTGCAGCCAAACGGCACTACAGGCATAGCTTGCTCACAAAAAAATGCCAAGTCTTTCGCATTTGTTCTGAAGTTACAGGAGCTTTTT